GTTACAGTTGACGGAAAAGGGGATTTCGATGTGGATTCAAAATATAACCTACTTAAAAATAATCTAAGCAAAGCCCAGGAACGTAGTATACCATATAAATTGAATAGATCGAATACTAATGATCCTAAGTGGGTAACAAAGTATCTAAAGAACCTTACAGGTAAAAAGAGAGCGTGATACAATTGGATTAAGAATGGGGAGGTTAGTTTAGAACATGAATTCGTTCAACTGGTTAGAAGTGTTAAAAAAGAGATAAGGAAAACAAAAAGAAACTACGAAGTTCGCATAGCAGGGCAAGCGAAGACAAATCCTAAAGGTTTTTTTTCAGTTTTATCGAACTAAGACTAGAGAATGGATAGGAACATTAAAAACTGAGACAGGTCAAATAACGGATAATGACGAGGAGATGAGTAGTATTTTTAATAAATATTTTATATCTTTATTTACTAAAGAGGAACTTAACAATATGCTTTCAGCCGAACAAGTATATGTAGGTGAGGACAAGGACAGGTTGAATAGTTTAGCAGTTACCAGGGATGACGTAATTAAACAAATAGAAAAATTAAAACCAAACAAACCCCCAGGGTCGGATGAAGTGTTTGCCAGGGTGCTTAAAGAATGCAAAGAGGAGCTTTCCAAGCCACTGTCTACCATATTTAATAAATCCTTATAGTTAGGTAGAGTGCCAGAGTCATGGAAGGTAGCTAATGTGGTACCAATTTTTAAGAAAGGAGATAGATCACTTGCGTCAAACTATCGGCCAATTAGCCTAACGTCTATTGTAGGAAAGTTACTTAAATCGATAATTGCAAATTCATAGATAATTGATAATTTCATAGACAACTGGGAACACTTCTATGGAAGAAATGAAATGTATGCTCGGGATGGGGTACATCTATCGAGGGCTGGGGTTGTTGCTGTTGCGAACTCGTTGGAACCAGTGGTTAGAGGTGTTTGTTTGGGTTTAAACTGTTAGTAGATAGTGATATGGGAATTAATTTGGAGGAAGGAGATAATAAAAGTATGTGTTTGGGGGAGAAAGGAATTGGCAAAATGATCAGGGAAATTGAAGGGCCTCAGAGTAACAATTCACTTAGGGTATATTACACTAACAGTAGAAGTCTAAGAAATAAAATAAACGAATTAAATGCTCTTGTCTGCACAGAAAAAAATAGATATTATCACGCTTACCGAAACGTGGATGAATGTAGAAAATAGAGAACTATTAGCTGAATATCAAATAAATGGATTTAAACTATTTCACACAGATAGATATATTAGACGAGGAGGGGGAGTAGCCATATATGTTAGGGACAATTTGAAATGTAGTCTCAAAAAGGGAATCAAGTCTGAGCAACACACAGAAACTATTTGGATAGAATTAAACGAAAAAGCAAATAATATTATAATAGGAGTTATATATAGGCCACCAAATTTAGACAGAATGGAAGCAAAGCATCTATGGAATGAAATATCTAGAGCATCTAAATCTAACAGTATTTATGTCATGGGTGAATTTAATTTTAGTTGAATAAACTGGTTGAACAAAACAGGGAATAATGAAGCAGAAGATTTTCTAGAATTAATTGACAATTACTTTCTTACGCAACACAGTAAGGAACCAACGCGGGAAAATAATAGTTTAGATTCACTGTTAACTAACAGGAAAACACAAATTAAGGACATCGAAATAGGGAATGAGCTAGAGAACAGTGATCATAAAGAAATCAGATTTAGCATAGAATGGAATAGACCTGTAGGAGAAAATTCTGTTAAAGTACCTGATTTTCAAAAAGCAAATTTCAATAACCTAAGAAATTTATTGGGTCAAATAGATTGGAAAGTCCTAGGTATGGGGTGTGGGCCGGTCTTAGAGCTAGACGTGAACCCAGCGATAGGTGACGTAAAAAGGGTTTTCGATGTGGACTCAAAATATAACCTATTTAAATATATTCTAAGCGAAGCCCAGGAATGTAGTATACCATATAAATTAAATAGATCGAATACTAATGATCCAAAGTGGATAACAAAGGATCTGAAGAACCTTATTGGTAAAAAGAAAGCGTGGTAATAAAGGATTAGGAATGGGGAAGTCAGTTTAGAAAAGGAATTCGTACAACTGGTTAGAAATAATAAAAAAGAGATAAGGAAAGCAAAAAGAAACTATGAAGTTCGCATAGCAGAGCAAGCAAAGACAAATCCTAAAGGGTTTTTCCAATTATACCGGACAAAAATTAGGGAAAGGATAGGTCCATTAAAACCTGAGACAGGTCAAATAACAGATAGAGATGAAGAGATGAGTAGTATTTTTAATAAATATTTTATATCTGTATTTACTAAAGAGGAACTTAATATGCCTTCAGCCGAACAAGTCTATATGGGTGGGGACGAGGACAGGTTGACTAGTTTAGCAGTTACCAAGGAGGATGTTCTTAAACACAGAGTAAAACTCAAACCAAACAAATCCCCAGGGCCGGATGAAGTGCTTGCCAGGGAGCTTAAAGAATGCAAAGAGGAGCTTTGCGACCCACTGTCTACCTTATTTAATAAATCAATAGAGTCAGGCAGAGTGCCAGAGTTGTGCAAAGTTGCTAATATGATACCAGTTTTTAAAAAAGGAGATAAATCACTTGCGTCAAACTATCGACCAATTAGCCTAACGTCTATTGTGGGAAAGTTACTTGAATCAATAATTGCAAATACAATTCGTCTCCATCTTGAAAAACATAAATTAATAAATGAGTCGCAACATGGTTTTACAAATTGCCGTTCATGTTTAACAAATTTGCTAACTTTTTATTCCAGCATAGTTGAGGCAGTTGATAGTGGTAAGGATTGTGATGTTGTGTACCTTGACTTTAGCAAAGTTTCTGATACAGTGCCACTTGAAAGACTAATTAAAAAAATAGAAGCTCATGGTATTGGGGGTGCTATATTAAGTTGGATTAGGGCATGGCTGTTCCAAAGGAAACAGAGAGTTAGTATAAATGGGGTTAAGTCAGAGTGGGATAATGTTGTTAGTGGAGTACCTCAGGGCTCTGTCCTGGGACCTCTGTTGTTTATAATATATATAAATGATTTAGATTCAGGTTTTAGTAGCAACATCTGCAAATTTGCAGATGATACAAAAATCGGTAGGGAAATCAACACAAAAGAAGACTCGCTATCACTTCAAGTTGATCTAAATAGGGTTTTAGAACGGTCAAAAGATTGGCAGATGCAGTTTAATGCTGATAAAGGTAGAGTTTTGAGGCTGATTAATGATGATATTTAGTTACAAGATACGAGCTAGATGGTGTTGAGATTGCGAAGTCGGATTGCGAAAGGGATCTGGGAGTTATAAGAACAAAGGTAACTGCAGAAGGCCTATTGGCCCATACGAGGCAGTAATGTAAGATTAGTAAGAATTTAAAACAAAAGGATCAATGCATGAATGTTCGTAATAAGGCGATAAGAACACTGGGATTTATTAAACGAAACGTTAGTAACAAGACACCTGGTGTGGTTCAGGTGCTGTCACAGTGAGAGGTTGTGTTAGCTGGAGCTCTGGAGTAACATTATTATTGCAATAATGGAGGGATTAGTGAAGGATTTGGAGAGTTTGGTTGGAGCTCTGAGAGCAGAGATGGATTCCCTGCGGGAGGAGGTACGACGGCTGAGACTTCGAGAGGAAACGAAGGAGGAGACCAGTGTTGACGAGACCTCATCGTGGAGAGTAGTGAAAGACAGGGGTCTTAAGAAGACCTTGACAAGGCCGCCTACAGACGCCCTAAGGATGGCAAATTCATTTGCCGTGTTGGAGGACGAGTGCTGTAGTGCGCCTGCAGCAAGGAAATCAGCGAGGAACGGCGGAGCGCAGGCCCCTCAGGCTGCCCAGAAAGTTAGGGCCGGTACCGAAGCGAATTTTGGTTGTGGGAGATTCCCAGGTGAGGTATTTAGACAGAACGTTTTGTGCCAGAGATAGGGGGAACAGATTAAGGGTTTGCTATCCGGGAGCTGGAATTGGTGATATTGTTGAAAACATGAATGATATTATGATAGGAAATGGGAACAAACCCATTATTTGTATTAGTGCAGGGGGTAATGATGTTGGGCGAGTTAGGAGTGAGGAACTGATACAGAGATTTAGGACAGCCATTGAATTAGTTAGGAGCAAGGGAGGAATCCCGATCATATGTGGCATTCTTCCAAGAAAGGGAGTGGGAAATGAATGGATGTCGAGGGCACTTGGTGTCAATTGCCGGCTGGAAAGATATTGCAAATCAAATGCAATATCTTTCATAGACAACTGGGAACGCTTCTATGGAAGAAATGAAATATATGCTCGTGATGGGGTGCATCTATAGAGGGCTGGGGTTGTTGCTGGTGCGAACTCGTTGGAACCAGTGGTTAGAGGTGTTTGTTTGGGTTTAACTGTTAGTAGATAGTGGTATGGGAATTGATTTTTAGGAAGGAGGTAATAAAAGTATGTGTTCGTGGGAGAAAAGAATTGGCAAAATGATCAGGGAAAGAAAAGGGCCTCAAAATAACAATTCACTTAGGGTATATTACACTAACAGTAGAAGTCTAAGAAATAAAATTAATGAATTAAATGCTCTTCTCTACACAGAAAAAAAAGATATTATTGCACTTACCGAAACGTGGATGAATGTACAAAATAGAGAACTATTAGCTGAATATCAAATAAATGGATTTAAACTATTTCACACAGATAGATATATTAGACGAGGAGGGGGAGTAGCCATATATGTTAGGGACAATTTGAAATGTAGTCTCAAAGAGGGAATCAAAACTGAGCCACACACAGAAACTATTTGGATAGAATTATACGAAAAAGCAAATAATATTATAATAGGATTTATATATAGGCCACCAAATTTAGACAGAATGGAAGCAAAGCATCTATGGGATGAAATATCTAGGGCATCTAGATCTAACAGTATTTACGTCATGGGTGACTTTAATTTTAGTTGAATAAACTGGTTGAACAAAACAGGGAATATTAAGGGGGCATCTAGATGGAAATTGAAAGTTGTTGTAGGGCATTGAAAATTTATTATCCTGATACATGTGAAAGGTGCTGCAACTGGGCCAAGTTTCAGCATCGCAGCCTAAATAGAGAGGGAGAAAAAAAATAAAAAAGTTTTTTTAGACAATTTTTCACCAATGTTCAAATCATTTCACAGCCCACAATTGTGAATCGAAATAAGTTCTATGACACTTAGCTATGACCTTACTATATAATAAAGATTTGTGTGGTGGATTTTTATCCCAGATGTATTTAGTGCAATAATACAGATTTTGTAAATTTCCCAAAAATCCTATGCACTAATATGATATTTATAAATATTTATAAAATCAATAAATCTACGTAGAAAGAAAAGCCACCACAATGTTTTAGAGGCATAAACTTTACATATAATGTGCAAGTTTCATGTAAATTGAATAATAAATAAAATCTGTGAAATCAAATACAATTGTAAAATATTTACCTGCACAAACGGAGGTTAAAGTTCAGCCACCTTTAGCTGAGATTGATGTTGACCGATATCATTCAAAATTTGCACCCTTGTAGATAGGCATGGGTTCAGTAAGGTGTGCAAGTTCCATGCAGATCGCCTGATAAATAAAATAAAAAAAAAATAAAAAAAAAATAAAAAAATATAAAACACATTGCCACCAGTTTTATATGTACAAATATATATGAAGTAATATCACAATATAACACTAAAACATACTAACCTAATATAATTGGTCAGAAATATGGGTCCTGAAGATGGCACTGGAGTGGCACTAGTAGGCACCTGCGCCATAGCCGGGGTCAGCTCCCTCAGGGGCCTTTCTTGGTTTGGTTGTGGGTCTCGTTGGTTTCTGCATATCCTTGTCCTTTTTCTTCAAGTACCAGTCCCTGGAGTAGAAGGTGGAGAATGTGCGGTGGCAGAGGGTGGGATTGTGGTGGGGGGGGACCTGGAGTAGCGGGCTGGTTCCTCACACTCGCGGCTGAGAGGCCTCCACGATCTTCACTCGTCAAAGTGCGTAATCCATGGATTCTAGCCAGCTCGCACCTTCTACGGGCAGCTAGCATGCTTTTAGCTTTCAGAGTTTTCTTCATCTTCGTTTTGTACGTCATTTTGCAGTAAAAATAGCACAAATACTGATAATTCTGGGAGATATTGTGAGCGCGCGTCCACGATAGATCTGCTCGCTATCGGACACAGAGAGTGACTGACTTATGTTAGCAATCCCATCCCTCCCTCACTCTCGACTCTCGACTGTTGCCAATAAGTGAGTTTATATTTTTTTATGCATCACACGTTATTTTCAACGCTATTACGAAATATTAGACAGCTACAACGTAAGACGCAATACCCCACGGCGCACCCAGCCCGCGAGAACCGGAATGGGGAAACTTGCAGCAGGAATTTTGACTCTAATAACGTTATTTTTCAAGATAACATGAAACGGTTTTCACCACAGTGTTGCCAGAACGTTGTAGTATTTTTCAGAATTTTTTGTAAATTTTCGAAATTTTTCGGATTTGAGAAGAGATGCCCCCACTTAAGCCAATTAGCCAAACGTCTATTGTGGGAAAGTTACTCAAATCTATATTAGCAAATAAAATTCGTCTTCATCTTGAAAAACATAAATTGATAATTGAGTCGCAACGTGGTTTTATAAGTGGCCGTTCATGTTTAACAAATTTGTTATCTTTTTATTCTAGCATGGTTGAGGCAGTTGATAGTGGTAAGGATTGCGATGTTGTGTACCTTGACTTTAGCAAAGCTTTTGATACAGTGCCACATGAAAGACTGATTAAAAAGATAGAGTCTCATGGTATTGGGGGTGCTATATTAAGCTGGATTAGGGCATGGCTATACCAAAGGAAACAATGAGTTAGTATAAATGGAGTCAAGTCAGAGTGGGAAAATGTTGTTAGTGGGGTGCCTCTGGGCTCTGTCCTGGGACCTCTGTTGTTTATAATATATATAAATGATTTAGATTCAGGTTTGAGTAGCAACATTTGCAAATTTGCCAATGATACGAAAATCGGTAGGAAAATTAATTCGGAGGAGGACTCACTATCACTTCAAGTTGATCTAGATAAGGTTTTGAAATGGTCGAAGGATTGGCAGATGCAGTTTAATGCTGATAAATGTAAAGTTCTGAGGTTAGGTAATGATGATAGGGTTACAAGATACGAGTTAGATGGTGTTGAGATTGTGAAGTCGAATGGCGAAAGGGATCTGGGAGTTATGATTAGTAAGAATTTAAAGCAAATGGATCAATGCATAAATGTTCGTAATAAGGCAAATCGGACACTTGGATTTATTAATCGCAGCGTTAGTAACAAGACACCTGGTGTGGTTCTTAATCTATATCTTGCTCTAGTTAGGCCCCATTTAGATTATGCAGTTCAGTTTTGGTCGCCATATTATAGAATGGATATAAATTCACTTGAACATGTCCAGCGTAATATGACTAAGTTAATTCCCCAAATTAGAAATCTTTCATATGAAGAAAGATTAACAAAGCTTAAGTTGCATTCACTGGAAAGGCGAAGAGTTAGGGTGACATGATAGAGGTTTACAAGTGGGTGAATGGACATAACAAAGGGGATATTAATAGGGTATTAAAAATATCAACACAAGACAGAACACGAAACAATGGGCATAAATTGGATAAGTTTAGATTTAGGAAAGACTTGGGTAAATACTGGTTCAGTAACAGGGTTGTTGATTTGTGGAATCAATTGCCGCGTAACATTGTAGAGGTGGGGTCCCTCGATTGTTTCAAGCATGGGTTGGACATGTATATGAGTGATTATAAATAGGAGCTGCCTCGTATGGGCCAACAGGCCTTCTGCAGTTGCCTTTGTTCTTATGTTTTTACGTTCATGTCTCGCTCCAAGACCGGCCCCCACCCCATACCCAAGACCTTCCAATGTATTTGACCCAAAAAAAATTTTAGGCTATTAAAATCAGCTTTTCGAAAATCTGGCACTTTAACAGAATTTTCTCCTACAGGTCTATTCCATTCTATGCTAAATCTGATTACTTTGTGATCACTTTTCCCTAGCTCACTCCCTATTTCGATGTCCATAATTTGTGTTTCCCTGTTAGTTAACACTAAATCTAAAATATTATTTTCCCGCGTTGGTTCCTTAATGTGTTGCGTAAGAAAGCAATCGTCAATTAATTCTACAAAATCTTCTGCTTCACTATTCCCTGTTTTGTTCACCTAGTTTATTCCACTAAAATTAAAGTCACCAATGACATAAATACTGTTAGATCTAGATGCTCTAGATATTTCATCCCATAGATGCTTTGCGTCCATTCTGTCTAAATTTGGTGGCCTATATATAACTCCTATTAAATATTATTTGCTTTTTCGTTTAATTCTATCCAAATAGTTTCTGTGTGTGGCTCAGTTTTGATTCCCTTTTTGAGACTACATTTTAAATTGTCCCTAACATATATGGCTACTCCCCCTCCTCGTCTAATATATCTATCTGTGTGAAATAGTTTAAATCCATTTATATAATATTCAGCTAATAGTTCTTTATTTTCTACATTCATCCACGTTTCGGTAAGTGCAATAATATCTATTTTTTCTGTGCAGATAAGAGCATTTAATTCGTTAATTTTATTTCTTAGACTTCTACTGTTAGTGTAATATACCCTAAGTGAATTGTTATTTTGAGGCCCTTTTCTTTCCCTGTTCATTTTGCCAATTCTTTTCTCCCACGAACACATACTTTTATTACCTCCTTCCTCCAAATCAATTCCCATACCACTATCTACTAACAGTTTAAATCCAAACAAACACCTCTAACCACTGGTTCCAACGAGTTCACAACAGCAACAACCCCAGCCCTGGATAGATGCACCCCATCACAAGCATACATTTCATTTCTTCCATAGAAGTGTTCCAAGTTGTCTATGAAAGATATTGCATTTGATTTGCAATATCTTTCCAGCCGGCAATTGACACCAAGTGCCCTCGACATCCATTCATTTCCCACTCCCTTTTTTGGAAGAATGCCACATATGATCGGGATTCCTCCCTTGCTCCTAACTAATTCAATGGCTGTCCTGAATCTCTGTATTAGTTCCTCACTCCTAACTCGCCCAACATCATTACCCCCTGCACTAATACAAATAATGGTTTTGTTCCCATTTCCCGTCATAATATCATTCATGTTTCCAACAATATCACCAATTCCAGGAAACCCTTAACAAAGCAAACCCTTAATCTGTTCCCCCTATCTCTGGCACAAAACGTTCTGTCTAAATGCCTCACCTGGGTATCTCCAAAATACCAAAATTTGCTTCGGTACCTCCTTAACTTTCTGAGCAGCCTGAGGGGCCTGCGCTCCGCCGCTCCTCGGTGGTTTCCGTTCTGAGTGAACTGCAGGCTCACCACAGCACTCGTCCTCGAGTGCAAATGAATTTGCTGTCCTTAGGGCGTCTGTAGGTGGCCTTGTCAAGGTCTTCTTAAGACCCCTGTCTTTCACGACTCTCTACGATGAGGTCCCGTCAACACTGGTCTCCTCCTTCGTTTCCTCCCGAAGTCTCAGCCGTCGTACCTCCTCCCGCAGGGAATCCATCTCTGCTCTCAGAGCTCAAACCAGACTCACCAAATCCTTCACTAATCCTTCCATTTTTGCAATAATAATGTTACAACAATCGGAGCTCCAGCAAACAAAACCTCTCACTGTGACTGCACCTGACTGACTGCTGATTTAGCATTCAATGGAATAGATCTGTAGGAGAAAATTATGTTAAAGTGCCTTATTTTAGAAAAGCTGATTTTAATAGACTAAGAAATTTTTTGGGTCAAATAGATTGGAAAGTCTTGGGTATGGGTTGTGGGCCGGTATTGGAGCTAGACGTGATCCCAGCGATAGGTGACGTAAAAGGGGTTTTCGATGTGGATTCAAAATATAACCTATTTAAAAATTTTCTGTCCAAAGCCCAGGAATGTAGTATACCATATAAATTGAATAGATCGAATACTAATGATCCAAAGTGGATAACAAAGGATCTGAAGAACCTTATAGGTAAAAAGAGAGCATGGTACAAAAGGATTAAGAATGGGGAAGTCTGTTTAGAACAGGAATTCGTACAATTGGTTAGAAATACTAAAAAAGAGATAAGGAAAGCAAAAAGAAACTATGAAGTTCGCATAGCAGAGCAAGCAAAAACAAATCCTAAAGGGTTTTTCCAATTATACCGGACAAAAATTAGGGAAAGGATAGGTCCATTAAAACCTGAGACAGGTCAAATAACAGATAGAGATGAAGAGATGAGTAGTATTTTTAATAAATATTTTATATATGTATTTACTAAAGAGGAACTTAACAATATGCCTTCAGCCGAACAAGTCTATGTGGGTGGGGACGAGGACAGGTTGACTAGTTTAGCAGTTACCAAGGAGGATGTTCTTAAACAAAGAGTAAAACTCACACCAAACAAATCCCCAGAGCCGGATGAAGTGTTTGCCAGGGAGCTTAAAGAATGCAAAGAGGAGCTTTGCGACACACTGTCTACCTTATTTAATAAATCAATAGAGTCAGGCAGAGTGCCAGAGTTGTGGAAAGTTGCTAATGTGATACCAGTTTTTAAAAAAGGAGATAAATCACTTGCGTCAAACTATCGACCAATTAGCCTAATGTCTATTGTGGGAAAGTTACTTGAATCAATAATTGCAAATACAATTCGTCTCCATCTTGAAAAACATAAATTAATAAATGAGTCGCAACATGGTTTTACAAATTGCCGTTCATGTTTAACAAATTTGCTAACTTTTTATTCCAGCATAGTTGAGGCAGTTGATAGTGGTAAGGATTGTGATGTTGTGTACCTTGACTTTAGCAATGTTTCTGATACAGTGCCACTTGAAAGACTTAATAAAAAAAAAGAAGCTCATGGTATCGAATATAAAGTTGGATTAGGGCAT